AAAAAAAAAAAAAGAAAATACATGGGTATCCAAAACACATAGATCTAGTTTCCAATTTACCACTGCTCTAGCATTTAGTGGCTGTGTTCTCTCTCAGAAGCTAAGGGTACAGAACCAGCATAGGACTTTCCTCAGCTTTCCCAGAGGTTCCTAGTGATATATTTCTGTGGTTTTCCCACATGGCTTCCTTGTAAAAGTGTCTGGGGAGAGTACTTCCATCCCTCCCAGAACAAATGTACTGCCATATATGGTCATTTCACAGTCATTTGATCAAAAATTGTTCTCAACTGGGGAAACCCATGGTAGATAAAAGACAAAAAAAGAAAAAAAGGTGAGCATGTACTTTCTGGGCAAACATATATAACTACTTCCCAAGCTATACAAAACTACTGAAATTCAGGGACTACATCAATTAAGGAATTAGTCTAAAATAATATATAGGGGTGCCTGTGTGGCTCAGTTGGTTGGGAATCCGACTCTTGATTTTGGCTCAGGTCATGGTCTCTGGGTCGTGGGATTGGGCTCCAAGTCGGGTTTTGTGCTTAGTATGGAATCTGCTTGAGACTCTCTCTCCCTCTCCCTGTGCCCCTCCTCCCCCCACAGCTCTCTAAAATAAATAAATAAATCTTTAAAAAATAATAAATAAAATAATATATAGCCAGCTATCCAATCACATTCACGTAGCAAGTATTTTCCGAATATCTACACTGACACAAAGCCCCACAGTTCACACGTGTAAAACACAAAAGTAAACGAATCAGGGATTTGCTGTCAGGAAGCTGGCCATCCAATAGAGGTGATAATGACGTGGGTAGGCCTAGTCCGAGGACCCAGAGGGGGTCCCGCAGGACTAGTGAAGAGAGTTCTTGGCTTCATGCAGGACAGAAATCAAACCTGAGCCAGCAGTAGGTGAAAGCAGAGTTTATTGAAGGTAAATATACAGAGAGAGTGAGAGAGATACAGATGGAGCATCCAGGAGATTTGGCTGGATGTCTCATCTTCGCTTGGGGCCTGGGGTTTTATTAGTGATTGTCGTCTGGTGTAGTGCACGTAGCCTCTTAGGCATCCAGGAACTGGTCAGAACAAGGACAGGGTCCAGGTGTCCCTAAGTCACTCATTCCCTAAAGCCAGGGGTCTAGGCATCAAGGTATTTGGAGTCAGTGGTCTTAGAGAACCTTTATGATGACCTCACCCGGTCACTCCTTAGATGTTATATATTGTGCTGGAAGACTCCAAAGACATCATTATCTCTTTGTCCCTTACAAGGAGGACATATGCTATTGCATTACAAGGGGTGTGTAGAGTGGGGTAGGGGTGCAGGTCCTAGCAAGAATAGAACCGGAAGAGAAGCAAAGAGAAAAAAAAACAACAGCTTTTTTCTCATGGGGTCCCTTCAGTTTCTCTGTCTCAATAAGACATGTCAAAATTTCTTTTTAAATAGCAAAAGTTAATCCAGTATATGTTCCAAGAATAGACTCACAACCTTATGAGGTTGTTCCCCATTTTACAGATGAGAAAACCGAGGCAAAGGGTTATAAAATACTTAAAAGATCATATGATTATTAAGTAGCACTGGCAGTTTTCAAACACAGTCACATGAGCTTTTTAGTCATTCTTCTATCTTGCTTCACTTTATTATTTTTTTAAAGATTTTATTTTTATTTATTTATTTATTAAAGATTTTATTTATTTATTTGACAGAGAGAGATAGCGAGAGCAGGAACACAAGCAGGGGGAGTGGGAGAGGGAGAAACAGGCCTCCCGCTGAGCAGGGAGCCCGATGCGGGGCTCGACCCCAGGACCCTGGGATCATGACCCGAGCCGAAAGCAGACGCTTAACGACTGAGCCACCCATGCACCCCATTAAAGATTTTATTTTTAAGTAATCTCACAGTCTAGTGGGAAAGAAAATATAAGACAGGTCAGATGGAAATACAAACAGTGTGGGTTTCTGTCACTTGCTACTAAGAAAGTGTGCCTAAAGTAAACTATTACAACATTCTGGTCATGGTCTTCCCTTTTCTGTGCCCCCCAATCTCACCTTATAGAAACCAGATCACAGGGAATAAGAAAGAGGTTTTGTGTTTTTTAAGAAAGAGGTTCTTGAAAAATGAAATCACTGTGATCAAATGAGTCTGGTAGGATGGGCCAGATAGAACTAAGTGGCAAGTAAGATAAGGACTGAAAAATACCCATGGAATTTAGAAGCTAAGACACTGGAGAGATTGATGAGACAAATTTTTTCAGGAGGTCAGGTGGGGTGTAGAATCTGGATTGATGAGTGTTGAGGAACAAAGGGATGGTGATGTCATGGAGACAGTGAACTATGTTATTGAACTGGAACCCCTTTTAGGTTGTTGTATCATCCTTTGAGGGGCTGAGATAACTTTAAAGGAAGATAAAAGTAAATTTCTTTCATGTGGCCAATAAGCAGATGAAAAGATCTTGACAGCAGCCAACAGGGACATTCAAATCAAAGTCACAATGAGATTATCACTTCACATCCACTAAGATAGCTACAATAAAAAAGACAATAGTGGGGCAGCTGGGTGGCTCAGTCAGTTGAGCGTGGACTCCTTATTTCGGCTCAGGTCATGATCTTGGGGTCATGGGATTAAACCCCACAACAAGCCCCATCTAGAGCCCCTCACTGGGCTCCACCCTCAGTGGGGAGTCTGTTCAGATTCTCTCTGCCCCTCCCACTGCTTGCATATGCACTCTCTCTCTGTCTAAAATAAATAAATGAATCTTAAAAAAAAAAAGGTAAATGCACCTGAAAACACTTAATTTTTTATTTTATTTTATTTTAAAGATTTTATTTATTTGAGAAAGAATGAGACAGAGAGAGCATGAGAGGGGGGAGGGTCAGAGGGAGAAGCAGACTCCCCACCGAGTGGGGAGTCCAATGAGGGGCTCAATCCCAGGACTCCAGGATCATGACCTGAGCCGAAGGCAGTCGCTTAACTAACTGAGCCACCCAGGCGCCCCTGAAAACACTTAAAAAAGAAGACAATAGCAAATGTCATCAAGGATATGGAAATATTAGAACCCTCAGACATGTGCCAGTGTGAATGTAAAATGGTGCTACCAATTCACAAAACAGTTTGGGAGTTCCTCAAAAATTTAAACGTATAGTTACCATAGTACCCAGACACTACTAGGTATAATACATTTGTCCAGACAAAAACCACTACAGGAATGTTTGTAACAGCATTAATTATAATAGCCAAAAAGTAGAAACAACTCAATGCCCATCAACCGATGAATGGGCAGACAAAATAGGTATACTCATACAATGGAATATTATTCAGCCATAAAAAGGAATGAAGTACTTATACATGCTACAATGTGGATGAACCTTGAAAACATTATACTAAGAGAAAGAAGCCAGTCACAAGACCATATTGTATAAACCCATTTATGTGAAATGTCCAGGTGAGGCAAGTCCATATAAAAAAGTAGACTAGTTGTTGCCAGGGGTTGCCAGGAGGGAGGAAGGGGAATGACTGCTAATGGGTTTCTTTTCCGTGTGATGAAAATGTTCTAGAATTAGAGGTGATGGTTGCCTAACTCCGAACAGAGGAAAAATACCACTGGAGTGTAAATTTTTAAAGGGTGAATTTCATGCTATGTGAATTATATCTCAACTTAAAAATCAAAATAAATTCTTAAAAATTGCAGCGCTTTTGGAGACCCCCTGCCTTCTAAAGGGGATGCCCGCAAACCAACAGCAATAACCCAGACCAAGCACAAGGTGAGCCACTCCCCCAGGCCAGGGACCACGAACTGACCACGCCCCCAGGAGGAAGAAGTCCCGGCTTGGAGGTCGCTGACTGGCTGAACTGTAGGAGAGGGCGGGGCTAATAGGGGTGCGTCGAGTCCCTCTCGCAGGGGCGGGGCGGGCCGAAGCCTTAGCTCGCGAGATTTTGCTGGTTCCGCATTTCGGGTCGGCAAGGTGGGGGAGGCGAGCGCAGCAACTGGCACCGGGTCGACCCTCGGTTCAGAGCAGCGGCGCCCGGTGCTTCCGCTGGCCGCGAGCTGAGGACTGTCCGCTTCCTCGTGGTTCCCGCGCGGGCTCCGAATCCAGACCGCGGCGGGGGCCAGCGGCCCTTCCCCTCCGAGGATAGAAGATGAGCTTCCTCTTGTGAGTGTGGCCGAGCCGAGGGCCCCGAGGGCTGAAGGCCGAGGGCGAGGGGGAGGAAGGGGGTGAGCAGGCGCCTAAGGCGAGGGCCGGGCCCTGGGGTCGGAGCGGCCGACGTTTGCTTTGCCCGGCCCCCGGCCCCTCCCCCCGCGGGCCCCGGGAGCGGCCCGGACGTGGGCCCAGGCAGACGGAGGTGAAGGTCGAGGCAAAGGAAGCGGAGCGAGAGGGTTGCGGAGTAGAGAGGCCCCGAGGCCGGCAGTGCCTCCAAACTTTTCCGCCCAGAGCCCCTGAGGGCGGAGGGACGACCTGGGGGTGGAGCCCCGAGCCCGGCCGCTGGGCTCCCGATTCCTCTCAAGTCTGGAGCCTTCTAGTACCGATCCATGCTGACTTAGCTTTTTACTCTACCGTATGTCAAGTTTTATTATCTTCAGTATTAAATTACCCCCGCGGAAAAACGCTGCCCCAGGAAGACGTTGAGTGCCGCAGTTCGAGAAGCTCGAAGTTAAGCTGCGGCCTTGCATGCAGACTTCTGTCCAATACGGATTCAGCCCACTTTGTGACTTTGTGTAGATTTTAGTCAGTTAATAATCTCTACACCCATCATGGGGCTCAGACTTACAACCCCGAGATCAGGAGTGGCACGCTCTCCTGACTGAGCCAGCCAGGCACCGCTGTCACTTTGTGTAATTAACTTTTCCTGGGTAGGATCCTATTTTAGAGATAAGGCCTGGGGTCCAAATGAGGCTTAAATGGAAACTTTTGTGAATTCTCTGATGATTCTTAAGCATGTTAAGGTTTGGGAAGCACTGCTCCAGCATCTTATTTCAGGTGGCTCTCTCTACCTGGTACATTAAATTTATGTGTTGTGTGATTGAGGACATATCTGACATTTTTATTAAATTTTATTAAGTACGTAATGTTCCTTAACCAGAGTTTATCCAGTTCCTTATTGTGAGAATGTTTTGCTTTGAGAGGCACATGAAGTTCAGAGACTGACTTTGTCTTTGCTGGCAATGTATTTAACAGGTTTGCTGTGGGCATTTCATAGGCCAATAGCATACCGGATAGTGTTTCTTATTAAACTAATGAAATACTCCAAGTCAGTGATAGATTAAATACACTATTGTTCCAGACAAGGGGAGATGAAAAAAATAAAGTCCAAATTTAGTTGAGATCTACCTTTATAGGAGTTGGTCCTGAGGAGAGGGGTTGGGCTTAGCCAACGCAGTGCTGAGGTCCAGCTGCGGGCACTAAAGTGAAAGTCCTTGTTGCCAAGGATCCATGGCGCTGGTGTTGACCAGCAAGTGGATTTGCCTTCTGCGCTGGGCATTTGCCTGGGGGGGGGGGCAATTGTCCCAAGGTTTTCAGAGAGCTGTATAGGTCAGCAAAGTGTCACCTTGCCCAGACCTAACATTCCCCAGTACTCCGCACAAATTCGTGGTATTTATAGTCAAAATGTCGCCTTGCCATAGTTGCTTCTTCCTAAGTTTTCACTGATAAGCCCCAGCAGGGCCCCTCTGCAGCTGAACGGCTGAGTTCTTATGGGTGAGAATAGATGAGATGATGACATCCTGACACAATTTACTTCATTCTTACATGAAAACAACTTTTTTTTTGTCTTTGTCATAAACAAGTGGATTAAAACAAATTTCACTTAAGTCATAAACAAGTGGATTTGAAATCTTACCAAACCCATACACAGCAGAGAAATTTGGATTCTATCTAGTATTTTGTTATTAGAAAATAGCACTACTGAGAATACCCTTGTTCAAATCATTTTTCCCCCGCCTTTCGATTATTTTTTAGAAGTATGGTCTACTCAAGTATGATGACCATGTCTGAAAGTTTGTATGATTTAGATTGTAATTGTAAATCTCCATATTACTGGAACAATTTCTCCCTCCACGCCCAAAGTCTTTTTCCTATGAGTTAATGTTTAGTTAGTGGTTTGTTTGTGGATGCTCAGTTGCTTAGTTACTTTTTGGATTGAAATGTGAGGTGGTTTTTTTCTTTCAAACTTTTGTTGACAGGCATTTGAGTTTCCACTTTTTGGCCATTATGAATGAATCGGCTATGAACTTTTGTGTTCAGATTTTTGTATTGGATGCATATGTTCATTGCTTTTGGGTAAATACCTAGAAGTGGAATTGCTGAGTTATATGCCAACTATGTTTAATCTTTTGAGGAACTGCCAAACTTTTTCAAAGCACTGCACCATTTTGCATATTCACCAGCACTGTATGAGAGTTTCAATTTACCCACACCATAGGTAGCACTTGTTAATTGTCTTTTTGATTATAGTCATACCAATGGATGTGAAATGTTATCTCATTGTGATTTTACTTTGCATTTTCCTAATGACTAATGATGGTCAGCATCTTTTTGTATGCTATTGGCCATTTGTATATCTTCTCTGGAGTAATATCTATTCAAATCCTGTGATCATTTTTTAAATTGGGTTTTTTTGGGGGGTTGTTTTTGAATTGTAAGAATATAAAAAAAATTTTTTTAAAATATTTTATTTCTCTGATAGAGAAAGTGTAAGTGGGGGAGAGGGGCAGAGGGGGAGGGGGAGCAGGCCCCCTGCTGAGCAGGGAGCCTGAAGCAGCCCTTGATCCTAGGACCCTGGGATCATGACCTGAGCCAAAGGCAGAGACTTAACCGACTGAGCCACCCAGGTGCCCCACAAAAGTATTAATTTAGATGAAGACCATGTTGAATCTTGAGACATCATTTCATGTTTTCTTTCTTTTTTTTTTTTTTAAGATTTTATTTTTAAGTAATTTCTACACCCAATGTGGGGCTTGAACTCAACCCCGAGATCCGACTGAGCCAGCCAGATGCCCCCTTTCCTACACTTTCTATGCATTTACAAGATGGGCTTCTGCTGTACGTTTGGTCCTTTAGTATGTTTAACTGTGACTTGAGAACTTGGCATGTGAATACATGTAGCTCTAACTTGTTCTTCTTAACTATGTAGTATTCCATATTATGGATATATCAAATTTATTTATTCTTCTAATAAGTTTTAGGATTATTTCCCGGTTTTTCACTGTTAAAACCACTCTTGGGAACCACATCCTTATCCATATCTAGGAGAGATACCTAGAGATACTCAGCAGGGGGCCTGCTCCTCCACTTGAGCTTTCTCTATCAGAGAAATAAAATCTTTAAAAAAAATTTTTTTGTATTCTTACAATTCGACGGATGGATTGGGAGCACCTCGATGTTTATAGATACTGTTTATAGATACTGCCTTCCCAAAATATATACCCTTTACACTTTTTTTTTTTTAAGATTTTATTTATTTATTTGACAGAGACAGAGATAGCGAGAGAGGGAACACAGCAGGAAGAGTAGGAGAAGGAGAAGCAGGCTTCCCGCCGAGCAGGGAGCCCGATGCGGGGCTTGATCCCAGGACCCTGGGATCATGACCTGAGCTGAAGGCAGATGTTCAACGACTGAGCCACCCAGGCGCCCCACGCTTTACACTTTCACCAAGTGTATTAAAAACTAATTTTCCTGTACCCTAGTTCACACTTAATGTAGTTGTTGTAACTTAATCTGACATTCAGATTAAGGAAAAGTAAGTTATTTTAATTGAACAGTTTTTCATATGTCCATTGGCCATTGTATTTTTATTTCTGAGTTCCCAGTTGATCTGTAGCCCATTTTTCTAAAGGGTTCCTTACCTTTTTCTTAACAGATTATTGAAACCCTTTATTATTTGGTTAGTACTTTTTTTTTTTTAGTTAATATTTTGTAATACATGTTGTGAGTACTTTTTTTGTTACTTGTCTCTTTGTTCTGTTATGGAAATTTTAATTCTTATGGTTAGAAATACCTCCATTTTTTTCTGGGTTTCTTATCCTGTTAGCTTCCTTACAGAAAAACGCTTTTTCACAGTAACCAGTTGTCTCTCATTTATTCTCCCTGCTAATAACTTCAAAATGTTAATGTCACTTCTACTGTGGTTTGCTTTGATGGCATCACAGATCCTTTGATATAGAAAACTGGATTTTTGAGCTACTCAAAACTTAGGGCTACCTCTCTCCCCCACCATTTTCTATAAGTAGAAATTGAAGCCCAAAGGAAGTTTGTTTTGTCAGACAGTCACAGAATTAGTGGCAGATCAAGGACTAGAACCCTGTTACACCATATTACTTCATGAGGGTTAGTAGAATTGCGTTCTATGTGAAATTGTGTTGCTAATCCTGAATCTATCTGAAGAAAAACATTTAAAGCATTCTTTTTTTGTGATCATCACCCCCTCCCTATCCTGGCACTTTTCAGAGCACTTTTTAAAATCAGAACAATTTGTATGCCTAAAATTATGCCATTCTGCTTTCAGTCCTAAAATAAAAATTGATATACTTTTACTTTCAACCTAACAGCAGCAGCCGCTCTTCTAAAACATTCAAACCAAAGAAGAATATCCCTGAGGGCTCTCATCAGTATGAACTCTTAAAACATGCAGAGGCAACTCTAGGAAGCGGGAATCTGAGACAAGCTGTTATGTTGCCAGAGGGAGAGGACCTCAATGAATGGATTGCTGTTAACAGTAAGTTTTTAATAATATTCAGCATTGCTGATTTATAGGAACAATTTGCTAAAATCTTTTTGTTAATGAATTTTCTTTTACAGGTATAACTGTTGTAGTGTAATGGATTACCTGTAAAGAAACTCATAAGTACAAATACATCTAAAACTCTTTTGTTCTCTTCAGAGTACTTGGTTATGTAGCTTGTGTGGCTGGATAGAGACACCAGAGGAGAAATGTTGAGTGCTTTGGGGTAATTTCTGAGGATAGAATGGTAGGAATTATTGGGTAGGGTCAAATAAAAGATTAGAATACAAAATTCTACCTGTAGTGGACTATGACTTTGTAGGGAGCCCGTCTGCACAATTGCATCCCCCTCTCCCAGCAGCTCTCATCTGCCTGCATATACACAGAAGTCAATTGCGGTTCATAGGAGCAGTCACTTGATTGTTGTGACTTAGGAGTAGTCAGAAGGAAATTGAGAGACTGGGAGAAAATGGGAGGGACCCATGAGCTGAAAGTCACTCGAGTTCAAGAAAATGAGGGCATGACGTGAAAAGTTATATATACTGAGGCTAGAGATTTGAATATTTGAGCCTATCATTTCTGAGGTGAGATTAGTGCCGGGTGATAAGGTTTAAATCTATCAGGAACTTCAGATGTTCCAGGAATTTTTAAACTTCTTAATGGAAAATTTCAAACATACAAAGTAGAGAAACTCGTAGAGTGAATTCCCAGGCATCCATTGTCCAGTTTCAACGGTTGGTTCCTGGCCAATTCATGCTTCTATATCTCACCCTGATTTTTTTCTTTTCATATTTTAATTCCTCCTTCCCCTCTCCACCTCCCCCCATTCTTCCTGTCTCTCCCCTGGTTGGTTTCATGCTGGCAGTGAGACCTGGCCAGCCCACCTCACCCTGATTGTTTTGAGGTGAATCCCAAACATATTATTTCATCTATAAATATTTCATATCTCTAAAAGACAGGAACTCCCCCTTTTAAAGATAATGACAATACTGCCATTCCTTTACGTTAGCAAATATCTAGTCAGTGTTCACATTTTCCCTGATTGTCTTCTAAATGTTTCTTTTTTTAAAAAATTTATGGTTGGTTTAAATCAGGACTAATAAGGCCTATATGTAATGTTTCTTGATTCTCTTAATTCATAGGTTTCCCTCATTGCAGTCTTTCTTCCTTGCTATTTTGTTGTTGTTGAAGAAACCAGTTCATTTATTTCCCACAGTATGAATTTTGTTGATTGTGTCCCCAAGGCATCCATTATCACGTTCTGTTCTTCCTTTTATTTCCTGTAAATGATAGATCTAGAGCAGCACTGTCCAATAGAACTTTCTGCAATGATGCAAATGTTCTGTATCTGTACAGTGGCCATTTAGCTCCTGAAATGTGGCTAGTGTGACTGGAACTGAATTTTAAATTTAATTTTAATGTAAGTAGCCATATGTGGCTAGTGGCTCCCACATGAGCACAGATGTGGAGCTTTGCTCAAATTCAGGTTTGATTTTGTTTGTTTGGAAGACTACTTTATAAGTGGTGGCATATACTTCCAACAGTGTCCATAATGTCCTCCATAGTGTCTAGCTGTCTTTCTTGGTGGTATTATTCAGCTGTTGATAATCACTCCTTTGATCAGCACTGTCTGACAGAAATATAATGTGAGCTACAAATGTAATTTGAAACTTTCTAGTAACCATATTAAAAATTTTTTTTGTTTTTTTTTCAGTACATTAAAAAGCCATTATTCATATTACTAGGAGAAAAAACAAGGTGCAGAACTACGTGATATGTTAAATCTTTTGTGTAAGACAGGATACAGGTGCTTAGGGGGCAGGAGACAAAAAAAATAATGTAGTGGTTATCTGTAGGGGGAAGCTGGAGTGGTTGGGATTAAGATTTATCACTATATGTTTTTATAGATCTTTGTGAACCATGTGAAGCCTTATATATTCAGAAAAGACCTTCCCCTGTTTTTTGTTTTTTTTTTTAACCTTAACTCAAATTATCATCTGTTATCTGAAGGCATCTGTTGGCCTTCTTCAGCCTTCAGTTTTTCTTTGAGACTTTTTGCTTTAGATAGGCTGTTCTCCAACGTGACTAAGTAAAAGGAAGGTTTGTAAGTGAGGGAATTTTATATAAAATTCCTTTTGACAAGACAGAGCTTTTTTTATCTATTTGTTTTTTAAGAAATGTGGAAAAGCCCTAGTTGGTTTTTAGGTACTCCTTTAGACGGGGAACTAAAACATTTTTTAAAACTTTCCAAGGCTTATGTGGGTGTCTTTGCAGAGGAACATTTGACTCAGATAGGTTCATTACTTACCCCTTCCTCTTCCATTTTCTTCCATATCTAGCTGAAGCTCCTGTAGGTAGTGCTCCCTGACTACCTCAGCCCCTCAAGATGCTGCCTTTTCTCTCAATTCTTATATGTTGTGTTTATTATTCCTTTCAATTTTGTCCCTTCAGATAGCTGGAGTCTCCAAGACAAGGGACATTATCTCATGTCCTTTTTGCGTCCTCAGTATGCATTAGGCTTCAGGCTTTTTATGATAAGATGTTTTAAATGCCTGTTAATACAGCTGATACACCTTCTCCTTCACAGGATATTTATTCTACAATGCTCTCTGCTTTTTCCCAGCACAAATGGTATTGTCTGGTCCAGACTGATAGGAAGCAGTGGGTTTTTTCATTCCCTTGGATATAATCAAATTATATATTCTAATGATACAGTAGTCACCGATAAGTTAGAATTATTCTAAGATTTTATTTTCCTGCTATTTTGTGCTGGCTAAAAACTTACTATATTAAAGTGAATATATATTAAAAGTTAATTTAGGTGTGACAGCTTAAAAGGAGAAGGGAATTTGCAGTACCCCTGGATCATTGAATCTCTTAAGGATTTATTCAAGAACTTGAAGGCATTGTCCATTTTTCCTTCAACCGAGAGGTCTGATGTTTTTTTGTGTTTGCACAAACATTTTAACACAGTTCTGGTATTACGTTTCCAGCTGTGGATTTCTTCAACCAGATCAACATGCTGTATGGAACTATTACAGAATTCTGCACTGAAGCAAGCTGTCCAGTCATGTCTGCAGGTCCAAGGTACATATACTGCCTATTAGATAGGTATTTGAAGTACTAAATAAAGCTAATCACTAATTGATATAAATTAAACAATAAAGCCTTTTTGTTTTTCTTATCTGTTTGCTTGTGTAAAAGCAGTTCAATTTTATGAGTTCTTGAATACGTCCCTATAAGCTTTTAGTTACTATTAAATACTTTGGTATGTGGTACTTAGTATTTAATTGTATTATGCTAAATAATGAATGTTCAGTTTTTTTTCTTGTGCTTATTTAGTGTTAATTATGTCCAAATTGTGCTGCTTTAATTATCTGGCTTAAAGATGCTTGATTGAAAAAATTTGACTACAGTGGTGCCTGGGTGGCTCAGTTGGTTAAGTGGCCAACTCTTGATTTCTGCTCAGGTTGTGAACTCAGTGTCATGGGATCAAGCCCCATGTCAGGCTCTGCACTCAGCAGGGAGTCTGCTTGAGATTCTCTCTCCCTCTCCTCTTCCCCCTGCTTGTGCATGCACGTGCACCCTCTCTTTCTCTCAAATAAGAAGAAATTTGACTATTATACATTTTAAGAAACATTAAGAAACGTGGAACTCTTTTATCACCCATAATGTTAAGTCAAGGTATGATGGGATTAATGTTTTAGTGTTTCTTTCCAGTCTTTTTTTCCAATAATAAATGACTAATTTTATGTGATGATACATGGTATCAAGATATTTACCCCTTGGGAAAAAATTGCCTTTCCTGAATTTGCTACAGGTATAACGGGAAAAAAAGGTCTCCAGTGAGTTTCTAGTTCTGTTTTTAATTACAGTATTTTGGAGGGATATTTTTATTTTGTGTTAAGTTTTATTCCTCAAACTTCCTGAAAAGAAATTTAAATAAAATAAATAAGAAAATTAAACTTATCTATGGCTTAAATGCTTCACACAGTGAAGTTTAGCAGAAGTCTTATTACGCATTTTAGCTCAGCAAAGGGAGGGAAGAAAAGATGCATGCATGCCTAAGGGTGTTTCTTTAGTACCCTCTCCAGGAAACAGTCTTTTTTAAGTTTTTGGATTTTTTTTTTCCAGTTGAATTTATTTTATTTATTTTTTAAAAGATTCTATTTGTTTGAGAGAGCACAGGAGAGAGAGAGAGCACAAGTGAGAGAGAGAGAGCACAAGTGAGCGAGAGAGCATAAGCCGGGGGAGGGGCAGAGGCAGAGGGAGAAACAGACACTCCGCTGAGCAGGGAGCCCGATGTGGGGCTCCATCCCAGAACCCTGGGATCGTGACCTGAGCCAAAGGCAGATGCTGACTGAGCCACCTATGCGCCCCCAGGAAACAGTCTTATTATCTTGACTCTGTTGTTGCTACCTTGATGGCCAGCTGTTGCAGGATATAGGGGATCCATCTGTCTCTGACCCAGTCCTCAGCACCCTCTGCCAGGAATGTGTAGTTCCTTTATCTTTCCCAGGGCTGTGTTAAAAAAAAAAAAAAATCCATTCTGGCACTGTCAGCTGCCACATTATCCTCCTTTTCTCTTCCAATTATAACTATCCTATTTCAGGATAATTCTATAGGGAACTCTGATAACCTTCAGTAGAACTTGAGGTAATTTACTAAGTTATATATAACTTCAGTTGACAAAATGTAGACCTACTTTTATTACAAGTTGTACATTTGTTACTGCTTTTGAAAACTCTGTAAGTAAAACCTTTTTCTCTCCAGATACGAATATCATTGGGCAGATGGTACTAATATTAAAAAGCCAATCAAGTGTTCTGCACCAAAATACATTGACTATTTGATGACTTGGGTTCAGGATCAGCTTGATGATGAAACTCTTTTTCCTTCTAAGATCGGTGAGTTAATGTTGAATGTTTTCCTTTTTAACTGATAAATATGTTGCATTCTTTTTAATACTCTGTTACTTAAAAAAAAAAAATGTAATAAAGGCTGCCAAATTCCTCTCCAAAAAGATTGTAAATGCATACTCCCTCTAGCCATGTTTGTGTCTGCCTGTGTTTCTTCACTAATACTGGTTGGCTACTCATTTTTTAATCTTTTCAGTTTGGGTAAATAAGTTTGTTTGAATGTACATTCAAAAAATATTGATGACATTGAGATTTTTTGGTTTATTAATCTTTGTGTTTTCTGTTTCTATCCTTTGTCTATTTCTTTGTATGGTAAGGATGTTAGCTCTTTGACATATAATATGTATCTTTCCCCAGCTTGCCTTTTTTCTTACTTTGTTCATGAGGTATTCTTGCTGTAACTTTCTTATTTGTCCTATTAATTTTTTCCTTTATGTTGTGTGGATTTTAATATAATGATTAGAAAGGTTTTCCCTACTTCAGGATTATTAAAATATTTGCCCTTGTTTTCATTTAGTACTTTTGTGGTTTTGTTTTTACATTTAAATCTTTGTTCTTGCCAGAAATTTTTTTCTTAAGGCTCCCTTCATTTTTTTTCTAGTTATAAACGCGAATCAGTTTGTCCAGTACCATTTATCAAATACATGTGTCTTTTCTCCCTGGGTTATCATATGTGTACACCAGATTGCCACATAATTTGGAGTCTTTCAGTCTCTTTATCTGTTCCTATAGGAATTCCACACTATTTTAATTACCATGGCCATATATCTGAGCATCTTGTAGGGCTAGTCTCTCTCCCTTGCTCTTCTTTTTCAGAATATTCACGGCTATTCTGGGATATTTGTTCTTCCAAAGAACTTAGAACCATTTTGGCAAGGTAAAATAAAAATATTTGTGAGATTTTGATTATTTCATTCAAGTTGTAGATTAACATAGGCGGTCTTGTTCTCTTGACAATACTGGGTCTACTCAAGAACAAGGTACATTTCTTCATCTTTTTTATTTCCTCTTGTAAAATTCTGTAGTTTATGTTAATCCTTCAAGTTTAAGTTTATTTCTAGACATTTTGTAGTTTTTTTCATTGACATCTGGCTTCCAAGCGGTTATTGTTTAGTATATAGGAAAGCTATTGATTTTTCTGTAAAATTTTGTATAAATTGACCATCAGATTCTGATTGTTTCAGTTGTTCTGGGTTGGTTTTCTTGTTTTTTAAGTATACAGTCACATCATATTAAGGTAATATTAATTTTGCCTCTTCCTTTCTGATACGGATGCTTCTTGTGTAATTTTTTTTTTTTTTACTGATATGGAAAGATATTATTCTGTGTTCTTTTTTTTTATGTTACGTTAATCACCATACATCACATCATTAGTTTTTGATGTAGTGTTCCATGATTCATTGTTTGCGTATAACTCCCAGTGCTCCATGCAGAACGTGCCCTCTTTAATACCCATCACCAGGCTAACTCTCGTGTCACTCTTATCTCATTGCCCCAGAGTAGTGCTGAGTAATGGTGATGATGTGGCAGACCTCCTTTTCTTGTTTCCTTACTTTTATGAAAGTGCTTCTAGTACTTCAGCATTAAGCAGGAATCTTGCTTTTGGTTAGAGGTGTGTAAATTTTTAAAAATCAGGTATGGTTGTTGAGTTTTAGGATATTTTCCCAGTGTCTGTTGTTGGTTACCATAAGGTTTTCTCCAGTATCTTTTTTTAATGTTTCACTGGAAGAGTATTTTTTATTTGCTAATATTTTGATTAAGATTTTGACATCGGTATTTATGGATGAGATGAGTCTTTTCGTTTTCAGTTTAAGATCGTCTTACAAGTAACATGTTGGATTCTGTCTTATCTGTTTGGGCTGCTAATAACAAAACTACCAGAGATTGGATGCCTTATGACAACAGAAATTTATTTCTCAGTTCTAAAGGCTGGAAGTCCAAGATCAAGGTGCCTGTGAAAGCCCATTTTTGGGTTGCAGACTGCCGACTTCTCAGTCTTCACATGGTGGAAGGAGCCAGCAGATGTTCTCGGGGGCCTCTTTTATAAGGGCATTGATCCCACTCATGAGGGTTCTGCTCTTGTAACATAATCACCTCCCAGAGCCCCATCTCCTAATAGCATCACCTAGGGGGTTAGGATTTCAACATAGGAATTTTGAGGGGACACAAATATTCAGACCATAGCAGATTCCTTTTTGCGGTTTCATCAGTGGCTCTTTTGGGAGAAAAACTTGTATCATGTTACACTCCGTCTGTTTGCTGTTGGTCACATTTTCTATTTTATTACTAAACTGCTTATTTCCTTTCTCACAGATTCTTTATTGTAATTGACTGTGCTTGGATGTTTCTGTTCAATTCAGCTTGGAAAATGCTTGGTTTAAGACAAATTACTTCTGTTTCTTTATTCATTAAAGTCTTGTGCTTATGGAAGATAAAGAATACTTAAAAGTTTGTTCTCTTTTCTCAGCATTCCATTCTTCAGTAATCCAGCCTAATGTTCTGGAAGCCTTTTCCCCCCCAGTTAGGCTATTATCAACATCTTACTTCTGCCAGTTATTTATTATTAGATAGAACTGTTACTCATTTTGAACTAATACATCTAAATTATTACTGTTCCTCTTATTAGCAAGATGCATATTTGTAAATTCTAAGAGAAGGAGTTTGACTTAAAAATCCAGCTTTTCAATATATGAGTACAAGACCCCAGTCCAGAAAAACATGCCCACAAGCTCCAGAATAAAGTTTGAAAATGCAAGTTGTTAGGGGCACCTGGCTGGCTCAGTCAGTAGAGCATGCGACTCTTGATCTCCAGAGGTCTTGAGTTCAAGCCCCACGTTGGGCGTAGAGCTTACCTTAAATAAATAAAGTTTTTTGTTGTTTTTTTTTTTAAGATTTTTTTCATTTATTTATTTGACAGAGAGAGACACAGCGAGAGAGGGAACACAAGCAGGGGGAGTGGGAGAGGGAGAAGCAGGCTTCTCGCGGAGCAGGGAGCCCGATGCGGGGCTTGATCCCAGGTCCCTGGGATCATGACCTGAGTCAAAGGCAGATGTTCAATGACTGAGCCACCCAGGTGCCCCTTAAATAAATAAAATTTTTTAAAAAATGCACATGGCAGTTGCTAGCCAAGATGGGGTGGGGGACCAGAAAAATTAGCTTGCAGGAGCAGAATATACTAAATTTCAAGCTTTTTTTTTTTT